TGATCGCTGCTGTTGCTGGGTGGGGGCTACCCGGGGCCTGCTGCTGGGTGGGGGGAAGCCCGTGACCCTGCAGTTGCTGCTGAGGGGGCAGCCAGTGATGAGCTGACTAAAATCTTAACAACCGGTTCCCTATAAAAAGTTCTGATTTAAGGGATGTGCCACAGTATGTATTTTTTGTACCAATAGGGTTACCATACTTCCGTATTTTCCCGGGAGGAATTTTTAAATTTTAAAATTTCCGCCCGGACGGCGATTTAAGAACCAAAAAGCCTGACATCTCTGGGAAAATACGGATGTATGTTAACCTTACCTAAAGTTCTTTTTAAAAAAGATGGGCCTGAACTAGAAATGAGCTCCGTTTCACATCTGTGGGTCCCCGCCACTCCCTGGGGGTGTGCTAGGGTGACCAGATGTCCTGATTTTATAAGGACAGTCTCGATTTTTGAGTCTTTTTCTTATATAGGCTCCTATTACCCCCCACTTCCTGTCCTGATTTTTCACACTTGCAGTCTGGTCACCCTAGGGTGTGCACATGTGTGGGTCCCAGCTGCTCCCTGCCCCCCCTCATTGAAGCAGGTGTTCAGGGTTATTGCCCTGGTAACTGCAGGGCACCAGTGGACATGGGGCTGACTGAAGACAGGCATGGGGTAGGGCTAGCTGGAGGCAGGGGGTGCGCCAGAGGCTGGCTGTGCACCAGGGGCTGGCTGTGGGCAGGGGCTGGCTGTGGGCAGGGGGTGCGACGGGCTGGCTGCGGGCAGGGGCTCGCTGTGGGCAGAGGCTGTGGGCAGGGGCTGGCTGGGGGCAGGGTGGTGGGTACTCACATGGGGAGAGGGGCTGGGAGCATTCCCAGCAGCAGGACGCAGCCCAGGCTCAGCAGAGCAGCTGGGGACCCACCAGGTAGCAGCAGGAGCCCCAGGGCCAGAGGTCCAAGGAGCAGCAGCAGCAACAGGGCCAGGAGCCAGCCCACATGGCTCCTGAAGCGCAGCGCCCCCGGCGGCCGGGAGGAGGAATTACACGCTTCCCGGCCGGAGCCCATCAAAGCTTCCCTTGCAGGGAAGCCGGTTAACAAGTGATTCTAAAACCGCTTCAAAATTTAACAACTGGTTCGTGCGAACTGGTGCGAACCAGCTCCAGCTCACCCCTGGGGGCAGCCCAGACCCCCGCTGCTGCTGCTGGAGGGAGGGCTGCTCAGGTGGCCCTGGGGTCAGCTGCACCAGCTGCTGCAGCTGCAGAGGTCATGGTGGTCCCGGAAAGTCACGGAATCCGTGATTTCCGTGACCTCCATGAAAGACTCGCAACCTTACTCATGATTATTCATGCCTTTGTCACTTCAAGATTGGATTACTATAATATGCTGTACATGGGACTATATTTTAAGATTACTTAAAAACTTCACTTGGTGCAGAATGCCTGCTTGTTAAGTAGTGCCTATCAGAGAGAGCGCATCATACCTGTGTCATCCAATCTGCACCAGCTTTTGGCTTGTTTCCAGGTGTAATTTATGGTGTTGGGTTTTAACTTACATTATCCCTATATAGTTGGCGGCTGTGGGTACCTCTGAAGCCACCTAACTCCTCATGTGATACTATGCCAATTGAGATAAGCTAAGACTCTTAAACTATGACCCCCCAGTGTTAAGTGGAAGGGGGCTGGTATGAAGCATCTTTTCAGTGAGATATCTTCTACTTTGCATTTGCTTTCCCACAAATTTGCATCATCAGTTACAAAACTCTAGACCTCTGTTTTTATCTTTGGAGGCGGTTTTTAGGTGCAGCCAAGTCTAATGGTAATTCTTGAGTTCAAACTGTTAAATGAAAGAAGAAATCTAACAAACCCCAGGAAGTAAGATAAGCCTTAGCACTTTTAAGAAAATATATATTTAAAACAAGCCTTGTGATTAAATATCTTCATTATTTCTTTCAGCCAAATTACTAATTTAACAATCCACTTTTACTAATATGATCTATAGTTAACATAATTGTAAAGGTTTTTATCAAGTTTATTTTAAAGCACTTTTGCATTTTTCTAAAGTGTGAATAAAAACATTTTAGGATGTTTCAGATTGCACATTTTAAAACTACATTCAAAACTTTACCAAATGCCCTGAGGCCTTAGTAAAATTAAAATTTTTATATGTGACTTGGCTCAGACCATGCGGAAACAAAAATATTGCAGCCCATTGCAGTTCAGTATCTGTGGTAGAGAGTACATGCTATTTTCTTGTCTGTCTTCAGTGTTCTTGTGTGTTCTACTTGATCGTCTGTTTTGCTCCTAGGGTCCATATCAGGATACGCTGGAGTTTCTGTTTGGCAGTAGGGATGAGTGTAAAAACTTCTGGAAAATCTGTGTGGAATATCACACTTTCTTCAGGCTGTTTGATCAGCCGAAACCAAAGGCTAAAGCAGTCTTCTTCAGCAGAGGGTCTTCATTCAGATACAGGTATGGCATAGGATAACTCAGCATATTTATAAAACACAACTTTTTATAGTTAGGAAATTAAATCATGATGAAAAACTGCTTTAACATAATTCTGAAGTTAAAAGTTTCAGAATCTGTTCCTGATGCATAAGCATTCTTTGTTCCAAACCTGGACATTTTTATCTACTCCTTTCATGATGATTTTTATAATATTGGTACTTTGCTTGGGTTCACAGTGGACGAACACAGAAACAGCTGGTGGATTATGTTAAAGACAGTGGGATGAAGAAAACTCCCTATGAAAGGTAAAACCCATGATTTTTAAAAGGTAAAATTGAGACTCTTGGAAGCCCCTATGTTGATATCCTAAATCTCACTTTTAATGAAATTGCTGCTTTGAGACATATTTCTTTTTTTAATTATAAAATTATGAGGAACTGAGGCACAGAGAGGCTAAGTGACTTGCCAAAGTCTCACAGGAAATCTGTTGCAGAGCGGAGACTTGAAATTGTATTCTACCTTTGATTTATTTTTTGAATTTCTCTCTCTCAAGTGTGCACACACTCTAACTACTAGTAGGAAATGTTTCAAAGAGATATCATCCTTCCTTTCAGTCCATGTGGTTTTCTTAAGTGTGTATGGTTTACATGAGTTAGTTAGAAAATACATTCCAAAGGCAGTTTTCACAAAATGAGAAAAGGTCTACGGGACATTAATCTGGGTGATAAAAAGATGGAAAATTCTATAAAAAATGTGTATTAACTATTTGCACTTCTGATCAGCTTCCTGTCTTGAGCAGGGATTTTCTAATTAAAAACGGTTACCTGTGGATCAAATCACCAGCTTTTATAATTTATAAAAAGGGCTTTTTTTAATGGAAAATGGGTACTATTACAGGCCACGTATTGTATACAGTTAACTGACAATGTTCTTTGCATAAGTGTTGAACATGAATTGACTTGCTCTCTGTTTTGACACCATATTAATTTATGGATATCTGTGTGCTTTGATGAGGAGGAATTTTTTTTAAAAGAACAGACACCTTTATGCTGTCTCATTCTTCTATTCTCTCATGTCCTTGCAGTTGCTTTTGCGTTCTCCTTTGAAAACATGAATGGTCTGAATCTAATGTCTCTGTTTTCTGTAATTATCTTGCTTCTGTGTTTTGTAGTAATTCACAAATATTTCATGTGCTTGCTGTACCTTCCTTTAGTCATTGCTGAAAGGGGGATATAACATAGAATCATAGAATATCAGGGTTGGAAGGGACCTCAGGAGGTCATCTAGTCCAATCCCCTGCTCAAAGAAGGACCAATCCCCAACTAAATCATCCCAGCCAGGGCTTTGTCAAGCCTGACCTTAAAAACCTCCAAGGAAGGAGATTCCACCACCTCCCTAGGTAACCCATTCCAGTGCTCGACCACCCTCCTAGTGAAAACGTTTTTCCTAATATCCAACCTAAACCTCCCCCGCTGCAACTTGAGACCATTACTCCTCGTTCTATCATCTGTTACCACTGAGAACAGTCTAGATCCATCCTCTTTGGAACCCCCTTTCAGGTAGTTGAAAGCAGCAATCAAACCCCCCCACATTCTTCTCTTCTGCAGACTAAACAATCCCAGTTCCTTCAGCCACTCCTCATAAGTCATGTGCTCCAGCCCCCTAATCATTTTTGTTGCCCTCCGCTGGACTCTCTCCAATTTGTCCACATCCTTTCTGTAGTGGGGGGCCCAAAACTGGACACACTACTCCAGATGAGGCCTCACCAATGCTGAATAGAGGGGAATGATCACATCCCTCGATCTGCTGGCAATGCCCCTACTTACACAGCCCAAAATGCTGTTAGCCTTCTTGGCAACGAGGGCACATGGTTGACTAATATCCAGCTTCTTGTCCATTGTAACCCCTAGGTCCTTTTCTGCAGAACTGCTGCCTAGCTATTAAGTCCCTAGTCTGTAGCAGTGTATGGGATTCTTCCGTCCTATGTGCAGAACTCTGCACTTGTCCTTGTTGAACCTCATCCGATTTCTTTTGGCCCAATCTTCTAATTTGTCTAGGTCCCTCTGTATCCTATCCCTACCCTCCAACGTATCTACCACTCCTCTCAGTTTAGTGTCATCTGCAAACTTGCTGAGGGTGCAGTCCACACCATTCTCCAGATCATTAATGAAGATATTGAACAAAACCGGCCCCAGGACTGACCCTTGGGGCACTCCACCTGATACCAGCTGCCAACTAGACACGGAGCCGCTGATCACTACCCGTTGAGTCCGGCGATCTAGCCAGCTTTCTATCCACCTTATAGTCCATTCCTCCAGCCCATACTTCTTTAACTTGCTGGCAAGAATACTGTGGGAGACCGTATCAAAAGCTTTGCTAAAGTCAAGGAATAACACATCCACTGCTTTCCCCTCATCCACAAGGCCAGTTATCTCGTCATAGAAGGCAATTAGGTTAGTCAGGCATGACTTGCCCTTGGTGAATCCATGCTCACTGTTCCTGACCACTTTCCTCTCCTCTAAGTGCTTCAGAATTGATTCCTTGAGGACCTGCTCCATGATTTTTCCAGGGACTGAGGTGAGGCTGACTGGCCTGTAGTTCCCCAGATCCTCCTCCTTCCCTTTTTTAAAGATGGGCACTACATTAGCCTTTTTCCAGTCATCCGGGACCTCCCCTGATCGCCATGAGTTTTCAAAGATAACGGCCAATGGCTCTCCAATCGCATCCGCCAACTCCTTTAGCACCCTCAGATGCAGCGCATCTGGCCCCATGGACTTGTGCTCGTCCAGCTTTTCTAAATAGTCCCGAATCACTTTTCTCCACAGAGGGCTGGTCACCTCCTCCCCATGCTGTGCTGCCCAGTACAGTACTCTGGGAGCTGACCTTGTTCGTGAAGACAGAGGCAAAAAAAGCACTGAGTACATTAACTTTTTCCACATCCTCCCTCATTTAGTAAGGGGCCTAACCTTTCCATGACTTTCTTCTTGTTGCTAACATACCTGAAGAAACCCTTCTTGTTACTCATAACATCTCTTGCTAGCTGCAACTCCAAGTGTGATTTGGCCTTCCTGATTTCACTCTTGTATGCCTGAGCAATATTTTTATACTCCTCCCTGGTCATTTGTCCAATCTTCCACTTCTTGTAAGCTTCTTTTGTGTGTTTAAGATCAGCAAGGATTTCATTGTTAAGCCAAGCTGGTCGCCTGCCCTATTTACTATTCTTTCTACACATTGGGATGGTTTGTTCCTGTAACCTCAATAAGGATTCTTTAAAATACAGCCAGCTCTCCTGGACTCCTTTGCCCTTCATGTTATTCTCCCCGGGGGTTCCTGCCCATCAGTTCCCTGCGGGAGTCAAAGTCTGCTTTTCTGAAGTCCAGGGTCCATATTCTGCTGCTCTCCTTTCTTCCTTGTATCAGGATCCTGAACTGGACCATCTCATGATCACTGTCTCCCAGGTTCCCATCCACTTTTGCTTCCCCTACTAATTCTTCCCTGTTTGTGAGCAGCAGGTCAAGAAGAGCTCTGCCCCTAGTTGGTTCCTCCAGCGCTTGCACCAGGAAATTGTCCCCTATGCTTTCCAAAAACTTCCTGGATTGTCTTTGCACAGCTGTATTGCTGTCCCAGCAGATATCAGGGTGATTGAAGTCTCCCATGAGTTCCAGGGCCTGTGATCTAGTAACTTCTGTTAGTTGCCTGAAAGCCTTGTCCACCTCATCCCCCTGGTCCGGTGGTCTATACCAGACTACCACCATGACATCACCCTTGTTGCTCACGCTTCTAAACTAAATCCAGAGACTCTCAGGTTTTTCTGCAGTTTCATACCGGAGCTCTGAGCAGTCATACTCCTCTCTTACATACAATGCAACTCCCCCACCTTTTCTGCCCTGTCTGTCCTTCCTGAACAGTTTATATCCATCCATGACACTACTCCAGTCACGTGAGTTATGTGCCAGGACTTCCAGTTCTCCCTGCTTGTTTCCCAGGCTTCTTGCATTTGTGTATAGGCACTTAAGATAACTTACCGATCATCCCGCTTTCTCAGTATGAGACAGGAGTCCTTCCCTCTTGCGCTCTCCTGCTCGTGCTTCCTCCCGGTATCCCATTTCCCCACTTACCTCAGGGCTTTGGTCTCCTTCCCCCGGTGAACCTAGTTTAAAGCCCTCCTCACTAGGTTAGCCAGCCTGCTTGCAAAGATGCTCTTCCCTCTCTTCGTTAGGTGAAGCCCTTCTCTGCCTAGCACTCCTCCTTCTTGGAACACCATCCCATGGTCAAAGAATCCAAAGCCTTCTCTCCAACACCACCTGCATAGCCATTTGTTGACTTCCATGATTTGACGGTCTTTACCTGGGCCTTTTCCATCCACAGGGAGGATGGATGAAAACACCACTTGTGCCTCAAACTCCTTTATCCTTCTTCCCAGAGCCATGTAGTCTGCAGTGATCCACTCAGTATCATTGGTGCCCATGTGGAGAAGCAGGAAAGGGTAGTGATCCAAGGGCTTGATAAATCTCGGCAGTCTCTCCGTCACATTGTGAATCCTAGCTCCTGGCAAGGAGCAGACCTCTCGGTTTTCCTGTTTGGGGCGGCAGATGACTCAGTCCCCCTGAGGAGGGAGTCCCCGACCACCGCCACCCGTCTCCTTCTCTTGGGAGTAGTAGTCATGGGACCCCCATCCCTAGGACAGTGCATCTCATGCCTTCCAGTCGGTGGAGTCTCCTTCTGCTCCCTTCCCTCAGATGTATCATCTAGTCCACTCTCCGAATTAGTACCTGTGGAGAGAACATGAAAACGGTTGCTCACCTGTATCTCCATTGCTGGTACATGGACGCTCCTCTTTCTTATTCTGGAGGTCACATGCTGCCAGATTCTTCACCGTCCTTCTGTCCCAGCTGCGCAGCCTGCTCTGATTCTTCAGAATGTTGTGCCCGTAGAAGCATATCCTGACATCTGTCCAGGAAATCTTCATTTTCTCTTATGCAACGCAGGGTCAATACTCCAGACCTCGAACCTTCTCTTCCAATATGGAGACCAGCTTGCACTTTGTAAAGACAAAGTCGCTTCTGTCCTGTGGAAGAAAGACAAACATGGCACATCCTGCACAGGTAACAGCTGAACGCTCACCAGCTCCATATTTCCTTCCTTCTAAGAGCTTCCTCAGCTGTTGCAGTAACTACTCAGAGAAGCCTGTAAGATGAAAGCCTCAGGGCGCTCTCCCCAGGCAAACTCCCTCTGTTAGCCTCCACTGTTTGCCACTCAGCTGGTCCGCTGCTGACTGCCTTTCTATAACAGTCAGGCCCACTCAAGGCCCACCTGGATCAAAGCACTCCCAATTCACACTTTTCAAACATCTTTTTACTCTTTTGCATGGGTGGTTAGAATGAGTGAGATTGGGTAGGGGGAGGAGAAAGGCTGATTGATTTCTTAGTTCCTCACAACATACTCTCTCTCTTTCAGGAGGGGCAGCAAAGCTAGAGTGTCTGCTCATACTTCGAACACAGATGTGCCAAAACAGGTTAGTCCTGCACCATTCTAAATATTATGTTCAGTAAGACTGACAGCCAGCTTTCCAATTTGGCAGTGTAGGGAAAGTTGATTACGTTGTCTTGTTGATCCAGAATCATTTTCACTGTTTGATCTTCATGCTGTGCATAATTTTTTTTCCTGTGGTACTAATTTTAATGGGTACTGCAGGTAGGTTGAAGTGACTCACATGGCTCATCTTTCACACTTCACATAGTTTAAAAGAAATTTTCATACTTATTCCTTGAGATACTCAATCCTGTTCATGTGTCTCAGATCAAATGTCTCTGTCATACAAGCAAAAGGAGTTGTGCTGAAGCAAGCACTTCAGGACTTGACCCTAAATATTTTGTGAATTCCCTCCAATACCCTTGTGTGTATTTCCTTGTCCGCTCTGTTAGTGGAGGGTTTAAAAATGATGGGAGTAATTTGATAACTGATCATGAGAAGTTGTAAAAGGTGAGTTTTTATCTTTCTGGAGATTTTGGTCTTTTTCTGTATATAAAGCTGTATTTGCAGAAAATCTTTCTAGTACACACTTTTACTGAGTCAGATATCAGAGGTAGTATTTTTTCTATGTATGATAAATACACTTTTTTACCTATTCTATTTTTTTTCCACTTCAGAGTGTCTCATTTACTGAGGGCTTAGGTGCTCCTGGGTCCCATGCCTCAGTATCTGCCTCCTTCCATTCAGTTTATACATCATCCACTACCACTACTGACCTGCCCATCTGTACAGAGACGAATCATTCCTTCTTGGACCCCAGAGCACCGTATATGAGGCGTCCAACAGCGGAAAAGAGTATTGCAACACCAACTGAAGAAACTGGGAAGAAAGCGACACAGCAGCCTGGAGCTCCCATACTCCAATCATTCCAAGGTGTTGGGTTTTGTAATGTTGTAGGAAACTGCAGCCCCACTTATACTGGTGTTGAGAGTAGTTGTGGTTTAGATCTAGAAATAGAGAAGGGTAACAAAGAGAGCAAGGTTATCTGTAAAAATGACAATGATGAGGATGACTTTACCACAGGTGTTTTTATTGCTGATAAAAAGCATCAGTATTGCGGTAGGGGTGACCCTCTTTTCACATTGACGAATTCCCAGCTGCAGGTTTCAGAAGAATTTATTGATGATGACCCAACAGAAATCTCCTTTTTTGCTGGGGGATCTGAAGCATTTTCATATGTGTACAGTGGCTTAGACCAAATAGGGTCTGATTTATCTAGGCATGCATCAGATTCAACTAAACTAACTAAGGATGTTCTTCAGCAAAGTATGTTGTCTTCTCAGTCAAGCCCTGACAGATACTCCACAGAAGCAGTAGATATGAACATGGAAGATGAGTTTGAATTTGAAGAAGGGAGTGATTTCAATGGCAATGAGAGACCATCAGATACATCAGAATTGTTTGAGGTTAAAGCACAAGCAAGCAGAATGCAAAGCCTTTTGAGTCCTTCTGAAACCAGTTCACTCATAAACAACCGTTCTGAAAGCAGTTCCCTCAATAATTTGCCACTGAATGGTACATCATCCTTTCACACGTATAGCTCTGCTAATCATTCTGAAGCTAGTTCTATGGTTAACTTCCCAGCCTACTCGGTTCGCTCTGAATCCAGCTCAGCCTTTCAGTTCACTGACATCATTGACCAGTTGGAGCAGCTGAGCTATCCACTTACCACTACAGAAGACTCTACCAGTACAGATACAGACTCCTGGGATTCAGAAAGTGCAACTCCAATGGATGTAAACCACTTCTTCAGCAACCCCTTTGCTCAGGCAACTGGCGAGAACTTCACTTTTGATTTTCAGAATAATTTAAAGAATCTTGCCCAAGAAGATCAAACAGGAAAAATGCACATCAATAATTGATTGGTAGTTTGAAGTTTGAGGTATCCAGCTATGCTGCTCAAACTAGGTTTCAATTCAGAGGTATAATTTAAATCATTTTTGAGGTGGAAAACTATTTTATTTCAGTGGCTGGATTTTAATTTGCATAATATAGTTGATTCCTGTTTCTCTCCTCCTCTTTATTTTCCCTTGAAGTATCCCAGCTTTGTTATTGCATTATATTGAAATGTGTGTCCAGAAAGTCTATAACCAGCTGTGATTTATGCAAAATGCCAAATTTAAAAAACTTCAGAAAGGCTAGTATTGTCAGTTGGGCCAACCAGAATTAAGAAAAATTATAGTCCTATTATACCTTACTTTCTCGGAAACATGTTTTTATGTCAGATTTAGTCTGGTGTGCACTTCCTCCGACATCAGCACGAGATGCTGCTGCTTGTAGGTCAGTTGTTAACAGACCACATCCAATACATAGGTTGTGATCCTGCAATGCAGTAAGAGTCTGTGCTGTTTCTTGAGACAAATATGGACAATCTGTGAATCAACTGTGAAGATAATTCTTAAAATGTCAAGTTTATGCAACAAAAATCTGGCATACCCCTCAAAGAATCAAAATCTTAGATGGCAATTTAGAAGAAGAGCATGTGTACAGTAGCAAATGCATGCTGAGCATCATCTGATCTACCCCTGAAGAGGATTGTTGAACAGTCCAGCAATGAAAAAATTCCCTGCTGTTTTGCCGCTGTTTGAAGGGAGACCCATAGATTATAAAGGCACTTAACTCCTTATTGAACTTTCTCATCTTCTTTGTCTTAATTTAATCAATTACACTGCCGAAAAATGGCTGCAACTTAATTTAATTAAGGCATATAAAACTTGCTTGGTCTGGGAGAAATGCTAAAAGATAAATCAGGCAATAGCTGTCTTCAATTTAAACTCTGCACTGTATTCATCAGAACGCTATTGAAATAAGATGGCTCCTTTCAGGGAAATAAAGACTTGGTGTAAAGTTTAAAAAAGAAAAAGGAAAAAAAGTGAATACCATCAGCCACTGTTTTATCTTCACTGCTTTCATAGGCATTTTTAGATAGGTGACTTTATGTAACATGATTCATAGTGAAGGTGTAATTGAAAAGGTGTAAATATAGATTTCAGTGATTATATCCATTGTACTGATTCATTAAATTAGTGATGGTGGAGGTTATCAAACTTACTTGCTCTCAGTCCACCTAATAGATATTCTTGGTGGGGGCTGGAATTCTGAGATGCAAGATTTTGAGGGCCTTGTGCAAGAAGCAAGTTTAAAATAAAAAATATCCCTGTAGCAGGTTTGGGGTCAAAAGCATCGCCTCTTGAGGCAATTTGGTTTACGTTCCAGATTCTGAACCTGCCTTTCCTAAAAGGGGTAACATTGCAATATCACTTCATTGGATTCCCTCTAAAATAAACAGGTGCATAAATTAGCATAATTAATTTGTTCATACTGTGTGCTTTCCATTAATGTTTATATGCTGTTTCCTGGGTAAGGGACTGATGTATTGAAAAGGAACCTTCATACTTGGTAGGCCACTTAAAAATCTCTTAAGGAATCCTGAGGAAACATTACAAGGAAAGTTCTTTCAATGTGCAATAAAACTTAATGGGGTGATTGTCCCTCATTCACTTATTTTTTTTCTTGTTTGTAGTCTATTCTAACTATTCCTTCTACAGACATGATCATTCCTTAAAGCAGGGCTGGCCAACCTGTGGCTCCAGAGCCACAATCGGCTCTTCAGAAGTTAATATGCGGCTCTTTGTATAGGCACCGACTCCAGGGCTGGAATTACAGGCGCCAACTTTCCAATGTGCCGGGGGGTGCTCGCTGCTCAACCCCTGGCTCTGTCACAGGCCTTACCCCCAGTCCGCCCCTTCCTGCCCCCTCCCCTGAGCCTGCCATGCCCTTGCTCAACCTCCCCCACCCCCACCCCCGAGCCTCCTGCATGCCATGAAACTGCTGATGGGGTGGGAGGGGGAGGCGCTGATAGATGGGGCTGCTGGTGGGTGGGAGGCGCTGGGAGCAGGTCGGGGGAGCTTATGAGGGGCTGCTGATCTATTACTGTGGCTCTTTGGCAATGTACATTGGTAAATTCTGGCTCCTTCTCAGGCTCAGGTTAGCTACCCCTGCCTTAAAGTATTCAGAATGTGTACTCATTCTACGCATTGTGCTTGAGTGGAATCCCTATTGTTGCACTAGGAAGTGTCCGAAGTTTGCATTTGCTGACTGGCATTAGAAAATCAAAGCATACCTATAATATCATATGGTGAAGTATTAGCTGAGCCATTTTTCAAGTGTTTGTGGCTGTTCTGTTTCTTTAAATGGCAGTTCTCTCTCTCTCTCTCTCTCCTTCCCCCCCCCCCAAATATGGTAATCATTTTGCCTCTTGTTGACTTGATTTCTATTTGTGGAAATGTCAGAAATGTGGAATATGGCATCGGTAAATAGGCAGCTGGAGGAGACAAACTTTTTGTTGTTTGGCTATCCCACCAAGCTGGTACTGGTCATGCTATAATTAGTTTATTTTTCCATTATGTAACTTGAAAAAGGCTTTAATTGGAGAATTCTCTTTTAGGGGGATGGAGAGTGGGAGGCAAGTCTTTGGATAGTAATATGGGCAGGGACAATTTCTGATTCTTTTGAAAAACTCCAAGATATTAAAGGTTAAAAATTGCCTTTTATCTATATGTAGGACTTTGTTACAAGGGCTTTCCTAAGGATTGACCGAGTCTAATGTGTTTTTAACCCCCCCCCCTCCTCCTGCCCCACAAAGTTCTACTCCAAATTCTCTTTATAATCGTATATGGAAGCTTACTAATATTTTTTTCTTGAGATGTGGTTAGTCTTAAGGTAGTTGTAAACTTTTCTACCCCTATCTGCACTTTGCAATCCTGTGTATCTTTTAATGGCAATTACAAACCCCAGGGCTTTTTTTAAAACCAAAAGGTAATGCTTTAATTTAAACTCATGCTTCATTCTTGAAAGATACCATAATGACTGGATTCCAGCTCTTGATTCTTTGGCTTCTAGCATGAGACAGGTAGGCAATTTTTGGCAAAAAATATTTAATCCATTCAAATAATATTTTTAGTGAAGCATAACAGCAGGTAAGTCATTTTTACTTCCACAGCACCTGACTCCATTTTCTTTCCGAAGACAGGGGTTGGGAATATTCTGATAAGGACATGCTGATCAAAACCACACAAGCAGAACTAAAAGGCAGCATCCAGCTGCTAAGATAGCACACTAGAGTGAGCAACAGGTATTTCTCCTTTTACATTCTCCTCCAGAAAGCTGGGATATGGGAGACAGAATGGGGAAACACTCTTCTAATGCTGACCTAAATACCGTAAGGGGGCTAGGTAACCAAAACTTAAGTGTTGGCTAGCAGACTGATGGAGGGACTTCAAATCCCTGTGCTATTGGTGGGGGGAGAGGGAGATGTTTCTCTTATGGTTTTTATAATGCCATCCATCATCCTAGTATCTGAATGCCTCCATGTAAAATCAATTAGCAGTACAAAGTCTCAAATTAATTTTATAATCTCTGGTTCTTCCCCCCCCCCCTTTTTTTTTTTTAAGAGTATACAAACTTGGGTTGGGGTAGGGTTGTGTGTTTATTTGTTTAATTTTAGTTGGTTTTGTGTGTTGTTTTGGGGGCAGGTAGAAAGGGGATGCTAGTGTTGTAGTGTCTTGTTGTGACAGGCTTTGTCAAAGAAGAATGTTTTGTAGCATTTCCTACAGATGGTCAGACTTCAGATTCACTTAATCTTGCTGATCTATTCCCAGAGGGGAGAGAGCCTCTCAGAAGCATCCTCATGGGTGGTGCAAAGATACAGTCCTCTTCTAGAGAGATTATTGGATTCAGTGCCTTTCCTCAGTTGAGGTGTCAGTTCTAGCATAGGCCACTGTTGCTACCTAGCTTTTTCCCTGGCAGCAGTCACAGCATCCTGCCACACCTACTCCTCTCCCCACGGAAGTGTCTCTGGTTGGACCAGCCCA